TTGGAGAAAGGAAATTAAAAGTGAAATAATGAAGGTGGCCTTTTATTCATTTTTCTCTTTCCCAGAAGCAGGCAGGAAGAGCTCTAAATCAATAAACAAGCAGAAGACGTACTTTCTCTGGTCTAGTTGGTTTTAAGAAAACACAATCTGAAGATAAAGCGAGGGCTCGGCCAGGCAGCAGCTCTCCCTCACCAGCAGGGGTAGCTCAACATATTCCTCTCTTAATTACGAAAAACAGAAACATCCCACTTAAAGAGCTCCTATTCTCAACAAACACAAAGAACAACTCAGAGATGTCGAGCCAGATTTTCCACTGCCTCGTACCTTGACAGAAACAACTAGGTGTAAAATTCCCTCTGTCTGGAGGGATGTTTCACCCCAGTGGGAAGGCGAAGGGGAATCCTATAGGCTTTGTATTATCTTTTCAGAAATGGGGGCATTAAATAAATCCAACAGCTCAAGTGGATAAAGAGTAGAGCTTTAATTTGATCCGTGTGACCAGGAACCAGAGACAAATACACCTTAATTGTGATTTCTTTGTTCAAAACAGAGGGTTAAAACGGCTTGTGTGCTAAAGAAGTGCAATATAGATTGTCCCAGGGAAATGCGGGGCCACCTCCATTCCCACCAAAATTAATGGGAGTTGATGCAAAAGGGGGAATTCTGAGCACCCCTTGTACACAGCTCCTTCCCTTGCCTTTAACACCACCTCATAGGACTGGATTTAAGAAATCCATTCTCTTGGTATTCATTTAAATCAATACAAGTTTTGATGTGATCTTAGGGTGTAAAGTGACACCAGCAAGCCAATCTGAACCAGGAAATCAATCTAAAGTACCTTTATCATTACAACTGTTTTCCAATTAAAAAAGAATAGTTATCTAAATCAACACAGGTGGGATCTGTTGGTAGAAAAACCTGCTATTTTCAATACCTGTTACAGCACAGAAACAGAAATTGCCATTAAAAAGAAAAACATGGAGTATAATGGCAGCGAATCAGAAAGAGCAGTTCCCACAGATCCCGAGTAGAAATTCTGGAGAAGACAAAATCTTTGCAAAGACAAATTATGTTTTGATTTTGGCACATCCACGTTTCATTCCATTCCAATCATTCTACCAACTATTAAGCAAACTGCTGCCTCTAAAACCAAATAACATTTTGACACCTTATAAAAAATTACCCAAATTGCTGTGACTATAAAGTGTACAGGGGTTTTTTCACTGAAGAATTTAGGAAGTGACAGCTATAAATACCCTCCCTTTCGAAGCAGGCTATAGCACATCTGAAGGCCCTGGAATTGAAAACCCATTAAAGCCTCATCTTTTCTGTGAAATACTATTGTAATTTTGAATTTCCTCCATGACTGTATAGATTTTTGTACAGGTTGTGTGCTGTGACTATGTCAGTTAAACTGGAAGTAGTTTTAAGGAAACAAATGCAATGCCAAACAAGAACTAGGGAGAAAAGAACTTGAGCACAGCAGCGAGAAGGCAACAGAGAAACTACTACTGTGGAAAATCCTGCCTATTATCACTCTAAAATAAGATTCATTTGCCAAAAGAGAGAATAAAGTCAATAAAGGTAAGAACTTATGCCCTGCAGCCTGCCAGAAGCTTAGGTACAGAGCAGGGATTCCAACCAGGACACTCTGTAGATTCAAAGGCCAGGTTGGAGGGGGCTTGGAGCAACCTGCTCTGGTGGGAGGTGTCCCTGCCCAGGGCAGGGGGTGGCACTGGATGATCCTTAAGGTCCCTTCCAACCTGAACCCTCCTATGATTCTATGCTTGGCAGCTGAAGGGACAGCAAGCTTCCAACCTGAACCCTTCTATGATTCTATGCTTGGCAGCTGGAAGGGACAGCAAAGTGTCCCTGTGACAATTAAAGAGCCTTTGAGAAAGCTGTGTGGGCAATCCCTGTGCAACACAGCACGGTGCTCCTTCACACAATCAAAGTATCCCACTCGAACCTGCCAGAGGAATGTTCTCTGGAGTTCAGGGGAAGCTGCAGCTCACTCCATGGGACTCTGCACACAATGGCATCCAACAGAAGGAGACCTAGTGCTTTTAATATGGGTCTCTGGGGGCTGTTAGAAGAGAAAGAAATAATGATGGTAATTAATGATCAGAATGCTGTTGACAGATGCTAAGGCTTCGTAGTAAAAATTAACAGGGATCATGACAACCCACAGTACAAAAACTCCTGTGCAAAATTAGAATTCCCATTGAGAAGAGATGAAACTGTTGAAAAATTTGACCGTTGTCAAGTTTCCTGCCTTGCTTCTAAATTGCACACATCAACAAATAGAGCACATTACCCCCAATTCTCTTTATTTTCCTGCATTTTACTAGGAAACAGAAATTGTTCAACATTCGACCTGCTCAGCTCGACAGAAATGAGAGAGCACCAAGTATATTGTCTACTGTGTCAGTAATGAAGTGAAGGAATGAGTGACTATATCCCCTGATAAATGAACTTTGCTGTTTTCCATTAGCAAGCGTTAGCTGTATCACATATACCCCGGGGCTGGGCACTGGCTGGACTAGTACTAGGACACAATTTCTGTGATATCATGGCTTTCTTACCAAACTAAAGGAAAAATGACATCCTAGCATCCTGCACTGCTAGTCCATTTATACAGACAGTGAAACGACCAAGTGTTTGTTTTGCCTCAGTCTGCTTGTATTTATAAAATGTTGGCTAGAATGTCTCTACTATTACTTGAGATACAAGATTATTTTGCTTAAAAGTTAGTCAAGGAATATTTCTATGTCTTTTGGAAATAACCTTTGTAGGTCAAGACCTAACTGTAACACAGAATGGGTGCTGAGCTTAGGGTTTCTTTAAAACTCTCTTAAGGTAATTTTCCTAATGGATTGAAAAATACTAACCACATACAATATAAAAAAGGGTGATGCAGCTTCAAGCTAAGACCTAACGCTTCCTGACACTTCAGAGGGAACAGGTTCTCACTGTACTGGTATCAGTAAAAGCTACAAGTAATATTTGTCTCCTCTGATAAATGGACTAAAAATGCATTTTCTTGCATGTTCCTGAGTATAGAGATTTCCAGACATTAAAATCCCTTTCAAATGCTGTGATGTAAATATATAACCTAGGACTGACCAGTATAAATATCTCTTTTTCTTGCTCTTGTTGTGACCTTTGTTTCACATCAGGGATGAGAAACCTTCTAGCCACAAGCTTCTCCAAAACCCCCATCACTGCTGAGGGGGCTCGGTGTGTGTAGCGTGTTCCCAGCCCGTCCCTTCCGATGCTGACTGGGCCTAGAGGGACGTACAGGGAATATATTTATTGAGTAAAAACTACTTAACTACTTAGGATAGTTGTGCACTAACTTCTAATTTTTCACAAATTTATTTTTAAATTTTATGAGCGTAATATTTTTAGTTTGATTATTGTTATTATTATCATCGTTAGGTTGATTGCACTAGGTCTTCAGGACATGCAGGGTGTAGCAGTTTGATGTGCTGCTCTGGACAATCCCAGGCAAAATGTGCCTGAGTTAACCCTTAGTTCACCATGGCACAGGTAGACCTGTGTGCTTGATGCCAGAGAAGACAGTCAGCCCAGCATATTTCTTTATCATCTGAATTTGACTGAAACAGTAATCAAATTGGTCTATTTAGACCATCTATAGCAGCAGCCATGTGATGTCATCTGGAAACCAATCAATGGCTCTCAATTAATTCCTTCATCACTTTCCAATCCTACCGCCCAAAGTAAGACTTGAAAATCAATAGTCCTAGAACTACTGACCACAGAGGCCATTAAAATACCTGCTTTGGTTTGTTTGGGGTTATTTTGCAGGCTTCTAGCTTGAACTTCCTGTGTAATTCAGCCTCCCTTCTTCTTTATCTTTTCACTCACATGAAAAGCCACCTGAAAGAAGCAAGTTCGCTCCAGGTAAGAATGGAGATGTTAACTGGGCTGAATTAGTTCAGGTGTCAGTCCCGGACTTGGATCCAACCTTATGATTTGAGGCCAAAACTTCAGACTGAAAAAATAAAAATTAAAGTATGGTTGCTCAAACCAAATCAGGACATAGTGTGTAACATTCCTGGCTCAGCTTCAAACCTACATCTAAAATCTAAAAATGAGACCCAATTCTAATAATTCAGAATAGTTGTCTATTTATTTTTTTAACAGAGGGAGTGTGCCTCAGGGGTGGGGGGAAGAAGAATCAGAGCACTAATAGTCGTAAAACTGACCTCTTACTGTTCAAAAATAAAATAAACCTGCTGCTGTGAAGCATGTACACATCTCTACAGAGACAGCAAACTACTGTGTGCACACCTAAATCTCAGCCTCAACAAAGCACGTTTTTTCAAGCCTAGATGGAAATGGTTCAAATTATATTAATGAATTTTCACTTCCTAAGCTTGACTTGCGAAGTGACCAAACATGCAACCCTTTAAGCAGTTCTGTCAATCTATTTTATCAATGTATTTCACTCTCTAATCAGACCTTATGTTGCTCTCTCCTGAAACAACTGCTTTTTAAAAGGAGGGGGTGTGTATGTCCCACAGATTGCTACAGCATCAAAAGAGCTGAAGCTGAAAAAGATTTCTGAGCTCTTGCATTTGTGCCTGTGGTCTGTGGATAACATGAGCCAGAAAGCACAGACACAGATCTGTGTTGATCAGGGCTTCCAGCAACGAGGAATGCAGAGCAGGAGCCGTGCCTCCGGCACACACCAGCGCTGTATTTTCCCTTCTTATTTTAAATTAAATCTGGGATGAAATAGTAAGAAATGCCTTTTATTGCAGCTTTTCTTTTTGATTCTTTATTCCTTCTAACTACTGATTGTTCCAGGCTCACAAACGGAGCATTGAGCCCTTGCCTTTCCATGAATGAAGTTCTGTGCGGGCTGCGAACAGGGACGTCATTGCGAGAAAACGCACAGAAGCGCAGGGGAAGAGCAGGGGCTGCAAACGAAAACACAGCTCACAAAAAAAAAAGGCCAGCTTTGTTTACTTGCCCAAAAGAGAGAAGGTAACAGAGCTAGTTTCTCAATTCAAACCGGGAGGAAATTCACTAGAAAAGGATAAAATCTTTCTCCTGCTAAAGATCATAAAAAATCAGCTGCAGCCACTTTTCAAAGATGTTTTCGCGAAGGCTTTTGATTATTAATAGTTGTACTGACTCATAAGAGCAACCCTCCGCTGCTTTGCTAAGGTAACCTCTCCTCTGGTACCGCAACTCTCACCAATGATGTGCTTTTTCCTGGGAGGAAGGCGGAGTTGGGAGTTGGTGTCGGGGCCATAAATAAGAGGGTCCCATGTCAGGGGAAGGAGGAGAAGTCAGCGAAGAGGAGCTGTGTACTGGCAGCGAGCGTCAGAGGGCTTTCCTGAACCTCCCCGCTGCCCAAACCCCAACCGCCGGCGCCAGCCACCAGGCAGCAGCAATTAGGGAGTTGAGCTGGAAAAGCCAAGCGTGAGGAAGCCTTTCTCCCTGGAGGAGCCAGCCTGGCCATGGAGCCCGTGCCCAGCGCCCTGCTGCTGTGGGCGCTGCTGGTGCTGAGCCGGGGGCCGGCGGCGGTGGGGGGCTGCAGCTGCGCCCCCGCGCACCCCCAGCAGCTCATCTGCGACGCGGCCCTGGGTGAGTCTCTGCTCCCACCGGGGGGTTTGGGGAGGAAGGGCTTTAACCAGGTGCCTTGGTGTCACCCAGGGTTTTTAAAAGAAAATGAGGGCAGGGACCCCCCTTCAACGAGAGGGGCAGGGGGAAAAATGAAACGTTCTGCTTCTTTCCGTTTTCCAGGACATTTTGCGGTTATAAACTGTTGAAACTGCTGTAGTGTTTAGTGCTCTTTTTATATTTTTTAAGTCCTAACTTAGAGTAAGCAGGGAAGAATACCTGAACTTTCAACTGGTAACACTATCTGTAATATAATATTCTATCTAAATACATTTGCTATGTGTAAACTATGCATATAGATATTTTTTTGTAGCATCTTGGGAGAAAAAAAAAAAGAGAAAAAACACCAAATAAAAGCCCCAGTGCTAACACATTGAAACACTTGATCTTTGTTCTGCTATACTACAATTTCTTTAACTGGTTGTGGGTTTTTTCTGTCATTTTCCAAAAATACTTGAGCAGGAAACCGATAGGCCCTTTATTTTCTGCAGATAAACCAGCTACAGCAGTTGTGTATAAATATAACTTTCCAGTCTGTAGGACAATTGTGTTTCAGGATATTCAATCAGCGCTACGGTTGTCAAACAACTTTTAGAAAGAAACTAAATATCTGAAAATGAGGCTGCATGGGGCTAAGAAAATGTGACATTTTGCAGTCCTTTGATTCCAGAAGCTGCAGCTAAGGCTGGGTAGCTTCCCTCTAGTGTGAACAGTAAATGTAGAACATGAGTTTCCAAAGTGTCACAAAATTAGCATCTCTATGGGGCAGGCACTACCCTCTGCATACTGATTCATGGCTTTTATACCCTGACAGAAAATCTTTGTAGCCATGACAAACTCTAAGCTCTGTTTGTGGCCATCAGTTAAATTGGTTTTTAATCTGGTTGTGTTAAGCAATCTTTTTCATTAAGTTACCTACAGCGGGCATTACAAACTTGGGGTTGTTTGAGGTGTGAAAGAAAATACAAGTTGTGCTACCAGGAGCTTAACCATCTATGTGTACATTTGCTGTAGCAGTCTGCTGTGTTCTTAGACGTAAGAAAGTGACAGTTTTTCAACAGACTTAATATAGAGATTTTTCTAAATAAACAATTTCACAGCACAGAAGAAACTCAAAACACTCACTATGAGCCATCTTCCTTAGGGAAGTCATTCTGGCCATTCTTATTATATGTATTAAGATTTATTCCATTCTTAGATACATTTTAGAAATGGCAGATGTATGCTACTTTATATTTATATTTAAATACTGAAGGTTGTAAAACAAAACTACTTTATAGCTGGACTTGATGCTCAAGTTCTCACCTCTACAAATGTTCCTGTTTGAGTTAATTGCACCCTTTGGCTAAGGAATGTTTTTATCAAGGATCCCTTTGCTTATCATTTTAAAAACCATTTCTATATATTATAAAATGATAGAGAGATGTAGATATTAATTGATATGTGGATACATATTCTTATATATGCATTTGTACTTCAATTTCAACATCTTCATACTTCCAAAATATTGATAAACAAAGAAAGGGACAGCTCTTCAGCTACCAAAACCTGTGGGAGTTGAAAGCTCATCCAGCTAGCTGCTGAGACTTGTCAACTTTTTTCATTTAAGTTCATCCATCTCTGTACCCACAAACACAGTCAATTATTTCCCTGCAGAATAAAACTCTAGCTCATCTTATAAAAAAAAAAAACCCAAACACAAATCACCACAAACCCATGCCATGCCTCTAAATTCTACAGCAAAGTAAAACTGAGACAAAGTCTCAGTTTCACTCATAGAGCTACCAACCAAAGTATGGACTTCACTGAGTTATTTCTCATTTCATTATGTATCTGTAACAGTTTTGATTCCTTATGATTTGGGTAAAGATGGAGGTGGAGGGGGTGGAATCTATAGACATGACTCGAGCCAGTAACTGAATGTGTGAAGCCACTCAGAAACCTCAGCATTTGCATGAGATACCCCAGAAAAAACCGAGCAGAGAAATTCACTAAGTCTGGGACAAGCTCTTTTCACTTTTACTTTTGTTCACACGATTCGTGCTGTGACACTTTGTCTTTTACTGTGAGGAGGCCTTTGTGGCTCTACTCTTTCTAAATGCCCACAGCTACCACCCAACCTGAGCAACCTGGTAGAAATAACAGGCTCCCTGACAGAGCCAGAGTAAGAGACAGCTTCTGGTCCCAAAAGGTGCTGGCTAGAACTGAAATGTGAGAGAAGAGCCCTGCAGGTGTCAGGTGGTTGTACATGGCAGGAAGACCAGTAAGGATGGGCAGTACCTCACAAGAGCCATGCCTCTCCTGCCACTTGTCTGACCTTGGCTTTGTCACTCTTCCCACCGAGCCTCAGAGGGTGGGATTTCATACAAACTTCAGCTGCTGCCATGAACTTCTCAGTAATTTTAAATTTCACTTCAAAGAGAGGCAAATCCTCATTTGTAGGAAGTGCCTAACACCATGAACATACACACCTTTTAGAAAAAAAAGGGTGATTCATTCCTTTTATGTTCTTCTGAATGGTGCTGAGGCTCTCCAAAACCGTGCTGGATGCCTGCAAACCCCAGCGAACACCTACACTGCTCACGAGGACCTTCACTGGAAACAGAGATGGGAGGTGTGTGCTCAGCATCAGTGCTGACCCCCTCACCCCACCAAAGAATCTTCCTCCTGGCAGAAATGAAAGGTGATGAGGATGAACTCTTTCACATTTCAGTAGAGAGCCACCATAGCTTCAAGCTGATACAAGAAAATTCCTCTGACAATGGCCTTTTGGGAGAGAGGCACGGATGCAATTTTGTCTATCAGACAGTGTCAAGAGGGCGAATTTCCCTTTTGCCACTGACTTCAGTCTCCCTGGACTCAATTCTAAACCCACGTTCACATCAAATTAGCCAATCTATAGAGAGAAATGGTCTATATGTGGAGAGGAATGATTCCTTTCTAAAGTCTGTCACTTTTCATTCATGCCTGTTTTTCCCCCTTAGGCATCAGCAAGGTTATTTTTTGGACAGTAGGACAAAGATGTAAATACTCTGCATTTCTTCGCCATGTAACGCCTGTCTTTAGCTATCTTTATCTTACCTATGTATACCCTACTTTTAAAGTTAGGTGTATTCTTTCTGATTTAAACTCTTAGAGTTGTTTTTTCTTAAACATACAGCAAAAAATATAGTTTTACCGAATATTACACACCACCTTCCAACAGAAATGACCAACAGATCTTGAGTACAAATAAATATATAATATAGCTTCAGAGAACAGTTCTATAGCTTTGGAGAAGAGTGGCACGTTTCGAAAGATGATGGAAGCTTTACAGCTGGAGCTTGGCAGCATTTTCAGCCTGTTAAAATCTCCTAAGATCACTGAGATCAGGCATTGTAAAGATGTGCCAGATGATATATTAAATTTTAATCACGTTGAAAAATAACAGTAAAAGTTTTATTTAAATACACCAGAATTAAGTTTTCAAAGTCAGCTCCTCTGGGATAAAATTACAATATGCTATTTCTTTATTACTGAATTTCATATTAAAACTTTCATGGCTCAGTGTCCCACAATTTTTCCTCTCTGCACTATAACTTGTAGTTTTGTACTGGAATGGATTAATTTGTACGTTATTAGAACGGGAAGTAACTTTACCTGATGGGGAAAATCAGCTTTGGAAAACGTATTAGAAAAGTAGACAGTACTTCTTCCAAGTGAGGAGAAAAGGTGAAGAGTGAAATTAAAGTAGACTTTATATTTTGTTCTTACTGTGTTAACATTTTGCTCACTCAGCGTATTCTGAATCTCAGAGTCTACTTGCTGTGAGCAGCGTGATTATGCAAATACTGATTACCCACATGTTTAGCTTGATGAGCACCCTCAGTGGGGTTCTGACACAGAATTAGGCAGCTATGTAATTAACCTTCACGTGTTCGGGAGCACAGCGTTCACACAAACGGTGAGAACAAAAGCCCATTAAAGACAGGGATGCAACTGACCTTAGTCTTCTGTGAGGTTCCAACAGAGTCCCAGGAGAACCCCAACTGGAAGTGGTGGCTGGAGGGATGGGGCAGGACGGCCTCTCTGAGGGTGGCTGGTGGCAGACCCTGGGTGACCAGCTGTGCCTTCAGACACCTCACGGACAGACACAGGGTCACACCACTTACCTCCTGAGTTGCCTACGGTCCTTTAGACCTCTCCAGGGCAGGGAGAGATCACAGTCCTTGGCATGTGATTTGCATTTCTGTTACTGTCCTGCCAAACGAAGGCAGGTCTTACTGCTCCATAGCAATGTCCTTCTCTAGAGTGGAAATCAAGGACAATAATGTACCAGGATATTTCTAGAGTAACCTCTCCCCGACTGGAAAGGATTATGCTGTGTTGCTCAGGGGTCCCTCACGGACATGAAAGCTGAGGTTCTGCTCCAAGATTTGTGAATTTGATTATAGAAATAACGTACTGGACTTTGGCTGTTCTAGTTCTCTCTGAAACAACAGCAAAGCACAGCACCTGAGCGTGCTTCTTACAAGAATAACTACAAAAAAGAAGTTGTGAGACTGTACTGGTGCCATTGAAAGAGCACGTTTCCAGAACAATATTTGCAGAACCCTAATTATATGAACCAATGAATCATCTTAAAAGCAGCTAGAAATTATACGAATCTCAGAAGTACTGTAATTCATATTTGGTAGGCTTAACGCAGAGGTGCTGAAAATGAGGTCATTCTCTTGCTCTCGTGTCCTCAGCAAGTGGCTGAGAAAAGCTGGATTCCAGCCCTGTGCTAAAGAGAGTCCCACCAAGTGCTCAGAAAACAACGTTGGCGTGGAGGAATCACCAGTGGTCAGACCCTTCCCCATCTCCACTTTTTGGTATATGACTAATATTAAGTTCATTAACAAAAAGTGTTGAGAAATAGACATCTCACCCTTAACTCACTTTTCAACAGACTTGGAAACAACAGAAATACCAAACCCCTCCTT